GCTAATACACAAAAACCTCTTCGTCTTATGTCCGGACATTGACCTTGCAAAAACCATGACATATGTAACATGAAGATATGGCCTTTTCCCGCCACAGTCATTTCACACTTCAGGTTTTGTTTAATAAATACCTGAGTTATTCGAAATGGAGTTATTTTTACTGTCATGTGATGCATATTAAGATAAAACTAGCTTGTTGTGATATCAGGATGAAGGTATCAGATACTACCGTTTTAGCGTAATGCTTCTTCCACTGGTTGCGTTACTCGTGAACAGCGCCTTTATATCAATTTAGCTTTGAGAGGACGTTAGAAATCTAAACCGTGTCAATAAAAACTGAAATATATTGATATCTTTATGACCATAAACATGCTGAATCTTGTTCAGTGTTTTTGTTTAGATTACTTCTATGTCAATATATGATTGACAAAAATTCACAAAGGACACAGTAGAACAACATAAATCTCGTATCAGGTATAAGGTATAGCTGATTGTTCCTGATTGTAACCATCTCGTATGACTTATCAAAATAATAAGTACCGTGTACAGAAATCGATTATCTTTCATCCATAGTGTATAGTTATGCAGGAGGGTATAAACTTTTGTTCACTTTATCTCTGTTCTTGGCATATCTCTCTGTACATTGTTCTGTCACTTACATCTACCAATATAAACTTTGAAATTCAAGTTTGAAAAAAAAGCATCATCGTAGTGTTCGTTGGTAAGCACCAATAAATGTTCACAATGGTTAGCGTTTATATGCGAATAAGTACACAGAAGATAATGATTGCTTTTGTATAACAAGGTTGGCTTCTTCATGCTAGGACACGAACGAATGTAAGCGATGAGGTCTTAGGAGAATGAGATATTTTTTCTGGGGTCTTGAATAAAATAATGAAGACTTCTGCCACCTGACCCCAATCATATGGATGTCCTTGCTACAACTTATCTATTTATAGAAATCACTGGTCTAGGGCTTCAATATCTAGGACATTAAATACCATCACGTGCATCAGCTGATCATACAGAAAACAACAAGAAAATACCAAAATGTCAACACAATCAGAATCATTTTCACAGTTCACCGTGGTATTAATGAATTCCTTAATTATGTTGATGTTTTAAAAATCTATACCTATTAACTTCTAAATATTTATGTTTAAACATTAAAGAATCCATTGATGATAACAGACACAAACCATGAGGTTATTCCAAACAGAAGGAGATCAAATATGTTGCTGGACATTTGTCCAGTTTGGTCACGAAGGGATGAAAGGAAGCTTGCTGTAAGAGATTAATCACATTTGCATTGATTATATGGCTGTGCATTTAGGATGTCTTGCAATCAGTACTGTCAGTTTTTTTATAGCCATCGATGTCAAGCTTTCTAGAGCTTTCAACGGTCCCCTACACAGATGACACTTCTACTTCCAACCAGCAGAGGTGGCCTGCAGTTTGTCTCTGGCGACATGACGATAGTCCATGAGTTGTGGTACCAGTGCCATGATGTTGTTATAAAGTAATTAAATGTTTTTATTGACAATTCAAAGCTGTGTAACACGTAGAAGAATTTACTAACAGCACCTTTCAGGTTTACATGACGATAATCTAAACAATATAATTATGTAAATGTAAACACTAAAAACAGAACCGTCATTGCTTCCGATATCGCTTATTTGTCTCATTGTTTCGGCTATCTTAATTATTGTAATATTGAACAGAAAATGAGCATTCCCAACTTGATGGTAGGACTGCGAAAAGTAAACTCTCGAGGTAAATTGTTAACTGTATAAATTATACATCTCGGGTTAAGCAGTCGAACAACTCCCCCGGTTAAAATGGATCAATCCTTGTGTTAAGCTAGCGAAATAAGGCAGAGAACCACTGGCAAGTTGATAAACATTCTCATAAAAAAGAAACTTCAAGTACTTATAGTCAAGTGCTCTATCAGATAATAAGAACATAAGATATACAATACGTGATCTTTAACCTTTATCCGCGAAAGTCATAGCCTTATTAAACGCTGAGTCACACACAGACGCTTTAACCTCTCTTTTTAATTGAAACTTGATTTGGATGTGTTCCTTAAACAAATAAGCATATCTCAGTACGGTTAAGACAAATCGTCGAATTTCAGTCCCTCACTGACGCAATGCCTCATTAAGGTGACGACATACCGGTAGTATCATGTTCTGATGGCAAATGGCATCGGAGATACCAGGACAAACTTTTTCTGTGATATAAGTCACATAATACACCGTCTCAAAATGATGACCGCATACACAAAGTGTGACGTTCCATTGACAAAACGTGTAGGAAGACAGAGCTCGACCAAAATAGCGGATAGACACAAGGCAAAACTAAAACTCTTTCCCTTGCGGTCCCTGGTGATGGACTATAAATTATAAAAGATTGCTGCAGAAATTTTGTCTCAAGTCTGAAACCTTGGGAAAGACATGCTTGATATTACGAGAAGGCCTCAGTCACTAATTGATTGTCCATCACACAGTTCTGTGAGTAGTAACACATACATTTATTCTAATAAGTTGCCAAACATAATTGCACCGCATATGGCCTTGTAATACAGATGCAATTAGGTACACAAAACGATCTGGAAATGCCTACAGGCAGAGGCGTAGAGTTAGGTAATAATGTCAAGGCTACCTACAGCCTATTACTTGGAGACCAAGACCAAAGCGGCCACTTGCTCAAAATGAGAAATACCTACATGTAAGTGTACACATCTATATCAGCAAACTTAATAAAACCAATATAGTGTCTTCTCTTTCAATCAATGACACGACAAACTTTTACATAAGCCGCTTATTCTGATATTTACATACAGAGAATGCAATTAACATTGACAACTTTCTTTTGAACTGTGTGAGAAGTTTCGCCACCACACAGTGTGTAAAGTCCTGTTTCATCTGATACTTAGAAACTTGTTTATCATGATTTCCGAGAACGATGTCGACAGCTGACAAATCAGTTTCCAACACACGTTGGATAACATAGATACCCTGCTTTCATATATATCCGGATGTCAGTGGTATTCCTCCAACACCCAAACCCAAAACGCTTTGAGTCTTTACGTAAGTCTGAATGTTAATAGGACATAAAACAACAATACATTAAAATAAACTTAACTAACGTGTGTTAGGTGGTTAAATGGCACTGTCTTATGTTGTATAGAATAAACTTCACAATACAATTGACAGCAGCCTTCCTGCTAGGTTTTACATGGCGGAATTGACTTTCCTAACCCCCAACAACCGCTATCTCCCAAGTTCTATTTCCTTCTAATCATTAATTTCTACTAGGGCTGAACTGCTATATGTTATACAGATATCTTGTACGGAAGGCAACCAGGCCTAATAATTATGATCTAAGTATTTCGAAATGTCAAAGCAATACATGTTTTTTCTTTATCAAGCGGATGGCTGCGGTTTCCAAAAATAAACTTCAATGAGATGAGTTATACCTGGGGAAGTCAACCCGATGGACAGGTCAAATTCCGCTTTCCCGCTTTCAGCTGACTTTACATATTCACAAGTATAATTAAGTATCTATAGACGAAGTGCGAGGTTATTAATCATAGCAAGGTACATACTGAAGCAACCTGCACGCAGCGACGAAAAATAAAATCTGCAATTATCGGTTTTACGCTTGACCATAAGGCTTACGAACGAGTAAGAGGTCTTGACACTCACTTTTACAGCGAGTTATTGAGCAATATTAGCATTGTGTAAACCTCAAATTTATGTGGGTAATATATTGTATTAATTACTGGAAGTTTAGAACGAAATATTCTTGATATTTGGTTAAGATCCCTCTTTTCTAAGCTTCCTTGCAAAGTCTCAGTAATCGGTTTTTTCAATACAAATTGTTGTTAACAATCTTATCTTGTCTAACACTTGATTGGGATATAGAGAGGATATTTATTGGCTTCCGTTTTAATATAAGATATATTTCACTTGTATGGCAAAATTTAAAGAAAATATGTTATGTCATATGTATACGAAATTGAACGGTTAACCATTCAATTTACTTTTCATTACACTTTAAAGGAAAATTGATCTAAATAGGACGACCCAAACATAAAGTGGTGTTACAAACCTCGGGAAATATTAGCGCATTCTTTAACGTCAGATAGGTACGTCATTTTCAATATGCTAATGTATTATCTAGTAAGAATCTCTTACAAAACCTTTCTCTTACACAAAATTAGAGAAAACCAGATATTGACATTGGATTTTTCTATGGAAAACCGACATATCCAGCATTTGCTTCCATGCATATGAACTTGGAAAAAATCGACTTACTTCAATGTAATTACTTGAAACCATTGCTCTGGTCGGTCAACACTACGAAAGGCTTGATAAAATTTGGTGATGATAAAAGTTTAGATTGAATAGATTGCTAGACTGACAAAAATATAATAAATTTTATCTCAACTACCTCAACTTTTGTGTGTCGTCTTGGCTTTAGACAAGGATCCACTGCTACTACATATTATACTCGTCATCGGGAAAGTAAACGTGCTGTTAGAGTAACATTTTCAAGTATCTGGCCGATGTCAAATGCGGCAGCTGGTCGAGGGATCTCTTCAAGGATTTAATACTCTCCGCGGTAATGAGGAGCAAAAAGACATAATAATAGAAGAGTATCACCATGAGATATTACCTACGTCCAATGAAGATGACCTTAACTCTAGTATGTATTATATCTATTTGCGATAAAAATGTTAGTATTGCAACGTATTAGTGGATATAGTCTAGATATGCGAATCCAGCGACAATGACTGACCATTTGAAAATTGTTACCCTATCAAAAGAAATTCCAGATTAGTAGTAATAGTCCTTTAAACAATGTAGCTTTCCTGTTTATTCAATGTTCAATAATGGTTATATTTTAACATCTATTCTCGCTTCATCGATCTATTATTATTATTGGGTACGCTGTGATACAGAATGTCATGACAATTAACAACACTGATTTTTTTAGTCTATGACAAGAAAACAAACATGGACGGCGAAAAGAACGAAAGCAATAAATCCGATGCTGCCTCCGACGGCAGCGAGGTAGAAAGACCATTCCAGGATATAGTTCTGACCAATCTGTGTGTATAAGGAGATCGCAAGTGCCATTCCGCTGATCACGCACCCAGCTGAAAGTAGAAAACACTTATAACATTACGCATGTACGTGTAAGTTGAATTCATACAAAATAATAAAACGTTTTCAATTATCGATGCTCTTAAAAGGCAATTAAGTTTTACAGCAAAGATAATCATTGATTATGTATGTAAATATTACCCGACGAACATGTTAATAAAAATGAAAGAATATCTCATACATCTAAGAGTTTTTTTTAGATATACAAAGACAACAAATTTTGTTTCATATCTTAATTACGTTCTACATTTTTACTTGTCAGTCTTTATTTTCAGATACAAAATGAATGACATTATATAATGGTTGAGTATACCGCGATATGTACGTTATATCGCATGGGTCTGTATGATATTGGAGCTACTGGTGATAATTTAACTGATAGCGATAGTACAGCTCACCTTGTGTTACAATGTATATATATGTCTACCTCCATACATAAGGCATAATATTACACCAACATTAACCAACTGTTACATTACAAATTTATATTTGTTATTAATCTCTGGAACAGAAACAATTATGAGAAATGTTAACACTAAGTAATCATGACTGCCTAATCCATTTTAGGCACAGCAGAGGTTATCGCAAGCCCAAAAGTCACACAGGGCACAACGGACATCACTACAAGTTACCTTATATATGATGAAAACTCACGTAAGGAGTGACTAATCAATTTCGTATTTGACTCCGGCCCTTTGTACCTTTTTCTCCCATGCCGCTGAGCATTATGGTAACATAACAAATGGTTTGTATGTTAAAGGTATAATGTAACCGATTGAGGTGTCCTGCTGGGAGCCTCGGCACTGTAATTAATTATGGCTGCATTATGAAGTCAGCTTCATTGCCTAATTTTGGTAAGGTCTTACAAGAACATATCGCAGCTTCATAAAAAACACACTCATCTCACATACATAGGGAGGTTATCGTTCATTGATCTCATATGTTGACTTTGTGAGAAAATAAAACTTACCCCCTGTCAATAACAGTAAGCAGATAATAACTCCACAACATATCTTCTTGTTGTCGATTCGCTTACAGGACATATAGAGACAGAGGAAGATGAGTGCGACGAGAAACAGAGAAGTTCCTACCACGGTCAAACTGGACACTACTCTCCATGTCTCCTGAGCTAAGAAAAGAGATACACATGTCACTAGTGATAATCAGACATTTTAAAATGGTCAAATGTGTAACATTAACACATTGAAGTATCAATTTGAGCAAGTGAGCAATTTGCGAATTACTCGACGTTTATAACTGGCAAAACTAGCTATGTTTACTCATTTCATGGGCAAACTGTAAATGACTGGTCACAGATATATAGTTAAAAACATTGTCAACTTTCTCATTTCATACTTTGAAAATGGTAGTTACTTTTTGCTAGCTGAACGCTCACAGGTAAGACCGCCTTGAAATGACCATAGCTGTTGAAATCTGATCAATATAGTCTCTTAAATATTTTGTTTTCTTCATTTGAGATTTTCTGAGTCTTAAAAGTAATTATTAATGTGACATCGATTTTGACATATGCACGCGGATTATGTGATAAAATGAAGTATGTTGACAGAAAAGTGGAATGCCATATCATAACTATGCTTTCGCATTTTAGAAAGAAGGTTAGTTAATATACATTGAAACCGTCAAATTGGATATGTTACAGGATTAAATGATTTAAGGTGAATTAATAGCCAAGGTAATATAAACAAATTGAATAAGTTACACATATCAATGACTAATGGCGAATTAATTGACATTGAAACACTGGCGAAATTTCACAGCTTACAGACTAATTGTTATAGAATAGACAAGGTAAAATTTTAATTGTTTATACATAACATGGACTTAATGTAAAGAAGAGGGTATACATTCATGGTCATATTAAACTACCTCTCAAACATTGTAGTGACTGACAGTGAAATAATTGCATTTTTACACCAGAGCTACTGATGAATTGATTGATGATGAAAAAAGATGGTGAGCTTAGCTTTATTTACAAGTAAAAATTTGTCCGATGTGTGGAAGAACCTGGTTTGCATTCAACGTTCATTAAGTTTATTTGTCGTACACAACCTAAATCTTTAACCTCTGCACCGGCCCCAATTAACCAGACTATAACATTTTGAATGATGTCAATTTTAATGTTCGATTGAACCATGGATATATATCAGACTTATAATTGTAGTCCAAATTTAGGTTTCCCTTGGGTAAATTAAGTATAATTGTTGAGGAATTTACATTTGGTGCTTAAAAAACATTTTCTGGGAGTAGTTTTGATGACACGTAGGGTAAGGTTCTGCTTATGGATTTCGATTTTGGAGTGTTTTGAGAAGAACTTTAATTTACCAGGATTCGATGAAGCGAAAGACACGTACCCTTCTGGAATACCTGATTTTATATTATTATATTTATTACATTCCTGTGGTGTATATGTTTATCTTTCGTTTGTTAATATTTCCCTTTGTTTCATCCATTTTTATTAAAATTTTTAAACATGTTGTTTACGTATTTGTTTATAAAAGTACACATATCGAGTGAATGAAATTTTTTTCAAGTTACATCTTCGTAATAGTAGCAAAGTAAACAGTTAAACGTGGCCATCTTTGATAAATCAATATATATCAACGGCCTACATAATATACTGTAAACATCAGCAAATGAACGTGATTTTAAAATTTCTCTGCGTTTGAACAAACATGAAATTTATCAATGATATAAATATGGCCCGAGGTTCACCTAATCTACCTCGGAACTTTAAATCAGTGCATGTATGCTATTGATGTTATCCGAGAGAACAACATGTACTGCAGCCATACCACATTATGTGCAGCTGAGCGTATAGTCGAGATGACTTTTAAACATCAAGAGAGAGTATAAGAGGAATATGTGCACAGTGCATGATAAACACATGCACTTTTACCTTAAAATTATTGGATATAAAGTGCACCTCTCAATGCATTTACATTTAAAGATTTATTTCAAACAATTTCGACTTTCCTCTGTAAGCACTTTAGACCTCCAGTAACATCTGTGTGATGCAGTTTAAGTTGTGTTATGCGTTATTTAATGCTAGATTTTTATTTTTCTACATTCTTTTGCAAAAAAATGTCTCGTTGGATTGCCTTGGAAGATATTTTTCGCGGCAGTGTCCTTACAACATGCTGCCTGGCTGTGGTAACAAATGTTTATACCACAGTGTCCATAATGTTGACATTGCTTTTAACCTGGGAACGGCTATATTACGGTTACAATATATATATATATATATATATATCGTCATGGTCGGTAACAAAGACTTTTGTTTAATTGAATGCGAACTATAAAACAGAGGAACATATATTAACTGTAAATTATGTCCTTGGTAATGTCTTCACATGGTAACTGTCACTTTATTTTCCTCTGAAGTCGTGTCATTGATATCGACGTTAATTGTTATATGAAGACTTTTCTAATTATAATCATGGATATCGTCTTTGTAGTTTCATCCATGAGAACGTGGATTCTCAATAACTTTTTATGTATGTGCGGTTAATTTACCAATAAATCTGTATAGCAGATCATCGCCATAAAGTGAGCAAGACAAAAGGACATGAAACCGATGGACCAAACTGTATCTCTACTTCAAAACATGGTTTTGATAACATTGAAAGAACCACACGATGCGAATTTAATCCAAGAGCGACAACTCGGTTAACCACTGAAAGCGACTGTTACAAAAGCTGTTCAAAATAGTCCTAAAGTTTGAAATAATTCTAGATCTTAAGCATTTGACGCCGAGTGTTGTGTCTGTAACATTTACATTTAAACAACAAATTATTTTCTTAATGTAACTACTGCCAATATAATAACAAGCGATTTATTGGTAAATCGGGTGTCACAGCAGACATGCCATAATTATATTCAGAAAATACTTAGTTAAATTAACATTACTGGAGCCGTTTTGGGTAATATCAATTAGTTATCTGGTTATAGTGAGCAAAAAAGCATATGATGGATTAAATTCAGTAATGGAAATAACCGGAAAGTGCATTTTAACGTCACAATATAGCAGGACCAATTGACATAAAGTATCTTGAATACATTTGCCGTCTAGCATGGTGGTAACGGGACGGCAGCGGCGGTCAGGTGCAAGATGTATAGATATAATTCGGCTTTAATCACACTAAAGTATGCACAAACACAGGAAGTGTTTTGATAGGCTTTAACACGCCAGGCAGTTGACGGCACGGAAACACGGAAAAGGGCGGGCGGTAAATTGTGCCGTCAAAATTATAAGGACACCTATAAGACTGCCTGACAATACTTGTATGTACGGCAATAGAATAGCGGCATGCGTCACAATGTACACAAATTTATTTAGCATCCTTACCAACCAAAGTACATTTTTCTTGTGCGTTGACTGTCGTACATGATTTTAATCATGATTAGTACTCTTTATGTCGTCCAGATTTTCTTAAATGTATTGTTGAGTTGAATAACATTATTTTAGCACTCTTTTTTTTTGACTTACCTGTCGAGGAAACGGTGGATAAGAAGGAATTCGCAGTTTCACAAGCCCCTGAAGTTGTGTAACACATCTGAAAAAGTCCAAGGTTTCCCGTTCCTGTATTGTACCAATATGGTGTTGCTAGACCGACAAGAACGACAATAATTGCCATAGGGAGGACAATTATACAAGCCAGCGCTAGCGACATTATACACTCGTCTATCATGTCGGTATCCTTCTTCATGTCTTCCGTTTGAGTGTCGCTATTCTGGAAAAGCTTGATAGCCGATATGTTAGTAGGAGAATCGGAACTAGGATTTGACGAGGAGGATGCGGAAACTGATTTGCTTTTACTTGACGTTGTTGATGCAGGAGATTTAGCGTTAATGGCTGGTGACAAACTCGGGGATGGATCGCTATAGTTGGGCGGTTTCTTTCCAAAAGCATAACCGTTTCGGAGGTCTTGTTTGTTTTTACGAAGTTTTGAATAAATATCTTTCCAAACACGTGACTTTTCTTTGGCATTCGTTGTTTGAGGTGCCGTCAATGAATTCACGCTCGATGTTCCACTGCCTATTTTATTGCTTGCCATATTTACTTAGGCTGTGTATTTACATCCAATGACACACTTCCGGTCGATCTGAAAATAAACATTAGATATGAATAAGTTTCTATCGAACAGTTTATAAAAAAACCGGAATTAATATACTTTAATGTAAGTACTCATGTTAAGTAGTGTATAGAAAAAAACGGTCTGGAAAATTTGTAATTATTAGCTGGTCATAAACAGGCAATTGATAGCGGATAATACTACGCATATTGTAAGGATCCTTACCTTGACATATTCCTTTCATTGTTAAACAATGAATAATTTTTTATTAAAACATTACTTTTCAAAATGGTATTATAGCTCAACAAATTATTATATCTCAAGAAAAGAAGAAGAAAAAAACGTGAACTTTTCAACGTAATGCCTACTCCAAACATTCAGCTGTTTTATTACTGCGAGGCATTAGTCTGCAAATTATTGTATGTTTAAAACTAAACGAATGCAAATGTTATCAGAACATATAATCAGCGATGAGAAATCACACAACTTTATGTGTTTGGAGATGAAATCTAACACAGAATATTAACATATTTTCTTGTTTTAAAAATGTTTAGAATCTGGTTTATGCATCCTGGTTATTACATGGACGACATGAACCCATGTATGAAAGTAACGTATTTTGATGTTTGTTATAATTCCAATTATTTTTCTAGGTGCAGTCCATTAGTTTTATTGACATCAAGTGTTTTTCACAATTCAGAAGCCAGAAACACTATTGTAGATTTCTAACTAAAAGCAGCTTCTGCTTGTTGCTACTATGGTATGTGATTTCAATTCATCTTGCGTGCGGGCTTGGTATAATTTACTAATACAGCGCAGTCGATGCAAAAACGTATGTATACCATTTCATCCTAATTTGAATTCTTATTTTCCAATCTTTTTGTTTGATAATTTACTCTGCTTTCATCTCTCTACCAACGTTGTCAAGAGCTCACTATGTATTTCACAATTATATCGACAAGCTTTACAGGAGATTTTAATGTTTCCATTTTCCAGAAAAAGACTAGTGATAATTCTGCAGCTAAACACCAATAACAAGAACGTGCACAGAATCCGCATGGGAAATAATGGCTTACTCCATAACCTAACGAAACGATCGCATATATAGCATGTGATATATGTTTAAGTGTCAGAGATTCCACCTAAACAACATTGTAATCTTGTATTCTGTATGATTTACATAACATAGACAATTTGCAATAATGATGAATTTGTTACGAAATTGTTTAAAGTTTAAAAGATTTTCAGTTTTCATTGAGGTATACGCGAGTTACTGTTAACTGTTTGTTAGATGTAGAGTTTCTGTTCGATTTGTCCTCTAATATTAATACAAATTCTGAATCCCCTGGATAGTAGCATTTTGGTCCCGAGTCCTCTCTATATTTTCCATTTCATTCACTTTTTGTTAGTGTGGCAGAATTATTCATGACACAATCAACTACCAACATGAATTAACAATGGCGATGTTATAGAATACTAGTGAAGTAAACCTTATTTTCAGTACAAACACTGTAGAACGTAGAAATTATACCTTTCCCATTTCGTGATCATAAGAAGGAGTCAATTAAATTTGGTATCTTAATTTTTTTCTCTTTTATAAAGATCTGTCTTCTTAATAATGTCTTCCTTGTCACTGCCTCATACTTGGCCTTTAGTCGAGTGTTTGCCGCATGAGGAATGTTTTTGGTTCTATCCCAGGCCGAGACAAACTAGTCTTTAAAATTGGTAGTTATGACTCTCTCCTTAATGTTCAGCATTGTAGTAGTATAACAAAGGGTTTATGGTGAGGAGGTGGTGTGTCCCGCTGGTGGGCTAAGGCATTATACTTCAGTCAGTCAGTACTATGTCGGTTTCAGTTCCAAGGAGACTTACATGAACATATAGCAGCTTTAAGAAAACCAAGACATACACTCGCCACGCAGGCATAGCATGTAAATGATGAAAGGCCTTAAAGCAGTATTAATAAAACCAAACAAACACTACCACACCAAAAGTATATCCTGATGAGGTTTTCTCACGAAATACATTGAATTTTAGGATTAGTCTATTTCCCAATTAATATTTCGACCAATCAAGGCTTTTCCTATTCACCTCCTATGTTTCAAGACTCTTAACATCACCACTGTATCAGAGAATAACGGTTCTTAGCATCACTGCAGTATCAGAGAATGACGGTTCTTAGCATCACTGCAGTATCAGAGAATGACGGTTCTTAGCATCACTGCAGTATCAGAGAATGACGGTTCTTAGCATCACTGCAGTATCAGAGAATGACGGTTCTAGCATCAATGCAGTATCAGAGAATGACGGTTCTTAGCATCACTGCAGTATCAGAGAATGACGGTTCTTAGCATCACTGCAGTATCAGAGAATGACGGTTCTTAGCATCACTGCAGTATCAGAGAATGACGGTTCTTAGCATCACTGCAGTATCAGAGAATGACGGTTCTTAGCATCACAGTATCAGCGGTTCTTAGTATGCAGTATCAGAGAATGACGGTTCTTAGCATCATCACTGCGGTTCTTAGCATCACTGCAGTATCAGAGAATGACGGTTCTTAGCATCACTGCAGTATCAGAGAATGACGGTTCTTAGCATCACTGCTGTATCAGAGAATGACGGTTCTTAGCATCACTGCAGTATCAGAGAATGACGGTTCTTAGCATCACTGCAGTATCAGAGAATGACGGTTCTTAGCATCACTGCAGTATCAGAGAATGACGGTTCTTAGCATCACTGCAGTATCAGAGAATGACGGTTCTTAGCATCACTGCAGTATCAGAGAATGACGGTTCTTAGCATCACTGCAGTATCAGAGAATGACGGTTCTTAGCATCACTGCAGTATCAGAGAATGACGGTTCTTAGCATCACTGCAGTATCAGAGAATGACGGTTCTTAGCATCACTGCAGTATCAGAGAATGACGGTTCTTAGCATCACTGCAGTATCAGAGAATGACGGTTCTTAGCATCACTGCAGTATCAGAGAATGACGGTTCTTAGCATCACTGCAGTATCAGAGAATGACGGTTCTTAGCATCACTGCAGTATCAGAGAATGACGGTTCTTAGCATCACTGCAGTATCAGAGAATGATCACTGCAGTATCAGAGAATGACGTTCTTAGCATCACTGCAGTATCAGAGAATGACGGTTCTTAGCATCACTGCAGTATCAGAGAATGACGGTTCTTAGCATCACTGCAGTATCAGAGAATGACGCAGTATCAGTTCTTAGCATCACTGCAGTATCAGAGAATGACGGTTCTTAGCATCACTGCAGTATCAGAGAATGACGGTTCTTAGCATCACTGCAGTATCAGAGAATGACGGTTCTTAGCATCAATGCAGTATCAGAGAATGACGGTTCTTAGCGTCAATGCAGTATCAGAGAATGACGGTTCTTAGCATCACTGCAGTATCAGAGAATGACGGTTCTTAGCATCACTGCAGTATCAGAGAATGACGGTTCTTAGCATCACTGCAGTATCAGAGAATGACGGTTCTAGCATCAATGCAGTATCAGAGAATGACGGTTCTAGCATCACTGCAGTATCAGAGAATGACGGTTCTTAGCATCACTGCAGTATCAGAGAATGACGGTTCTTAGCATCACTGCAGTATCAGAGAATGACGGTTCTTAGCATCACTGCAGTATCAGAGAATGACGGTTCTTAGCATCACTGCAGTATCAGAGAATGACGGTTCTTAGCATCACTGGAGAATGACGGTTCTTAGCATCACTGCAGTATCAGAGAATGCAGTCATGCAGTATCAGAGAATGACGGTTCTTAGCATCACTGCAGTATCATATCAGAGAATGACGGAATTCTTCAGCATATCACTGCAGTATATCAGAGAATGACGGTTCTTAGCATCACTGCAGTATCAGAGAATGATGACAGTATCAGAGAATGACTTCTTAGCATCACTGCAGTATCAGTTCTTAGCATCACTGCAGTATCAGAGAATGACGGTTCTTAGCATCACTGCAGTATCAGAGAATGACGGTTCTTAGCATCACTGCAGTATCAGAGAATGACGGTTCTTAGCATCACTGCAGTATCAGAGAATGACGGTTCTTAGCATCACTGCAGTATCAGAGAATGACGGTTCTTAACATCACTGCAGTATCAGAGAATGACGGTTCTTAACATCACTGCAGTATCAGAGAATGACGGTTCTTAACATCACTGCAGTATCAGAGAATGACGGTTCTTAACATCACTGCATCACTGCAGTATCATCACTGCAGTATCAGAGAATGACGGTTCTGATATCACTGCAGTATCAGAGAATGACGGTTCTTAACATCACTGCTGTATCAGAGAATGACGGTTCTAGCATCACTGCAGTATCAGAGAATGACGGTTCTTAGCATCACTGCAGTATCAGAGAATGACGGTTCTTAGCATCACTGCAGTATCAGAGAATGACGGTTCTTAACATCACTGCAGTATCAGAGAATGACGGTTCTTAACATCAATGCAGTATCAGAGAATGACGGTTCTTAGACGGTTCTTAGCATCACTGCAGTATCAGAGAATGACGGTTCTTAGCATCACTGCTGTATCAGAGAATGACGGTTCTTAGCATCAATGCAGTATCAGAGAATGACGGTTCTTAACATCACTGCAGTATCAGAGAATGACGGTTCTTAACATCACTGCAGTATCAGAGAATGACGGTTCTTAGCATTACTGCTGTATCCGAGAAAGACGGTTCTTAGCATCACTGCAGTATCAGAAAATGATGGTTCTTAGCATCACTGCAGTATCAGAGAATGACGGTTCTTAACATCACTGCAGTATCAGAGAATGACGGTTCTTAGCATCACTGCAGTATCAGAGAATGACGGTTCTTAGCATCACTGCAGTATCAGAGAATGACGGTTCTTAGCATCACTGCAGTATCAGAGAATGACGGTTCTTAGCATCACTGCAGTATCAGAGAATGACGGTTCTTAACATCACTGCAGTATCA